TTTTGCATCTTTGCTTTCTAAAGTCGCCAAGGCTGTTAGTTAGATCACCCTCATAGCTTGCTGGGGAGGATCATGCTGATTGTCAATTAGACCACTCAATTAAAACAAAGCAAAACAAACCACAGTGCTTTTGTTAATTAAAGAAAAATGTTTTACTGCTGAGGAGAGTTTAAAAATACATAGAGTTGCATTTTTTTCCCCTGAAAACTATGGCTGCTGAGATGAACTGCAGACCCAGTACAAACATTTCCTCACTAGCTCAATCAGGAGAAATCCCTTTGTGATTTCTACCGGGGAAAGAGGTGTGTTGAAATGAGAAATGGTCATTTGTCCAATCAGAAGGGGATATAAGTTAACTTGGAACATAGAAAGGACTGAGGCATGGTTATCATCGCTCTCCAGATCCTAATGGAGCAATACAAATCTTCTATTAAAGGATAACAAACTCATGGGAAGAGGTAATATAAGTCTCCCTCATGCATAGATATTTTCGATTAAGAAGAGACATATAAAATTTCAGGCAAAATGCACTCACATTCCCAAACTCCTTTTTTGCCCAGATTCCTCTTGGGTGGATCCTCAAGTTTTTTCTAGATTGTAACCGGAACAGTTCAAGTTCAAACGCACTGACCGCTTACCCTCAGACATGGGAAGAATTTCTTTTTATTGAGTAATATTGCTCAACCTTGAAATTTATCCTCAAAATCCTGTTGGGAGTGGAATGATTCGATATCGGGGATTTACTTTAAAATGCTCCGGGGGGGGGGGGCGGAAAAAGAGTGGAAGTGGATGATGAAACATAAAAAATAAAATGATAATTTGTGGTTGAAACTAGGAATTGGGTATACAGGGGTTCATTATACTTTTGTGTGTGTTTGGAAAGTTCCACAATAAAAAGATTTTTTGAAATGTTGTATTAAGCAAAGGTGAAAAAATTATCCCTGCCAGGGGTTTCGAACAAAAACTCAGTCAGTTGGGTAGCACCTGGAGTTTACCCACTTAATCTTCTTTTTCCAAGAACGGAAAATGACCTGACTCCCTTTTCATTTCTCCGGAATCAGCCGGCCATCCTTAGGCTTTCTTTCCGGCAGGCTCCCTTTCCCAACCCATAAACTGAGCATCCAAACCCGAGGTTGGGGGCTGATTAATGGAGCTTCCGTACTCAGCTCCCCTGACTAGAGTGTAAATACCCATAAAAACTAATATCAAAAGTTTTTATTGAGCTGCTTCGTTTCCCTGAGCGTTGGGCTGAGTGGGGCTGGAGCAGCGGGACAAAGGAGCGGCTGGGGCGCCACGAGCAGCGTCGGTGCTCCTGTCGGGCTCCGCGCGGGTTCCCAGAGCCAGCCGGAGTTTCTGGGGAGAACGCCCCAACCAGGTAAACGCCAGGCAGGGGCTCGCCTCCCACTGGGGACAGGTGTTTTTACAAAGCCACGAGGGACGGAATGGAGAGTGGCCGGAAAAAATCAGACCGGGTAGGGAGACACCAGCCACCCCAAAGTATGTCACCAGGCTGGTCCGACTGGGTGGAATAGTTTTCCTCGGGGCTGGGTATGATGCCTGTATTTCACCCCCACGACGTTGGATGTCCTCCTTTACTGCGTGTGTGTGCGCATTTCGCGTGCGAATCTGCGTGCCTATGGAGGCGCACGCATCGTTACGATGCTTGCGGCAGACAACGTGCCGTAAAAGTCTGCTCACACCTCGCATCCTCTGCTCTGTCCCCCCTGCTCGTGGCTGCGCTGGTGAGTTTCCTTCCCTCGCTTGCTCTGTGCGTTAAGAATGCGCAGCCCGGGTCGGGGACGCGGGAGTCTTCAGGGTTCTGAGCAGCGACGGACTCCCGCGGGCCCAGGCCGCGTGGCCGCCTGGCTGCCTGCACCGGTTTCTCCGCGAGAAAGCCGGGGCTGCGCGGGGCCTGGCTTACATCCCAAACCCCTGCTTCCTTCGACCGCTCGAACGTCTTCACTGTATTTGTTGACCTAATGAATCCGCAGCCCCGCGCTGGTTTCCTGCTTTGTTGCGGGGCCCTGAGCATCCAGCTACGGTGGGGGTGGAGGCTGGCGGGTGGGACTGCTTTCGGAGGCAGTAGCAGGGGCAGACCGCGGCGGGGCCAGAGACCTCTCGCCCTTTTCACGTCGCAGCCGCCCAGACGCCCTGGGGCCGCCCTGCGCTCCCCGAGTGACGGGGAGCTCACTCTCTGGGTGGCATGGGCCCCACAGTCCAGCGGGCCCGTACCCCCGCCGCCAGCTGAGGACTGCGAGAAGGCGTTTCCTCCTTCCGGCTGAGCGCTTCTCTGAGTTCCCCCTGCTTCTAACGCGTGCTACCTCTTTTAAGCGAATGCTGAGTTTCCAGGTCCGGTCAAGGGCAGAGCCTCGGCACCCGCACCGTAGGGCCAGGCTGCGTCCCCTCCACCACCACCACCACCGCTGGCGGAATCACCCCGACCTCCCACAGGGCCACGGCGGCACCGCGCCCTTCACTCCAAGTTTGCGCCAACCTGGGGAGTCTGGGCTCCCGTGACAGGCACTGTGCGGAAGAAATTGCTCTTTCAGGGAGCCTGGGACCTGGGGCTGGTGGTTCTGAAGGGGGAGGGAGGCCGTCCCCGCTCAGGGACTTTCTGGGGAAAACACTACAGGGCAGCGCTGGAACTGGGATGCTCCCTGGGCGTCCGCTCTTCCCAGGCACTGTGCACCGGTGACCTTGAAGGCCTGGTACTGGAAGGAACCCACCAGACAGCGGGAGAGCCGCTCCTCCAAAACCTCGCCTTCCTCGAAGTTCTGTGGAGTGAGATCTTAAAGGCAAGGTGGGGTCTACGTAGGTTTTTCTGGAACTTGCTCTTCCTCCCATTTTCACCGTGTTAGCATTTGGTCAGCACAGTGCCAAGTGGCTTCCCACAGTCCAGAACTATCCCTACAGCCTTTTGCTGTAGGGTCTTTTGCTGCCTCATTAACGCTTCAAAATGCACAAAAATCTAGAGTGAGAGCTGGACCAAAAGTGACTCAGGATGCGCTATTTCTTTGCCTATTGGCCAGCTTCGGCCCAAGTTTCTTCAGAAGCTTCTGCCCTGGTTGGGATGAGGGTAGGGAAGCCTCGAAGCCCGCGGTGAATAGACCAGTGCCTCACTTCTCTCTTCCTAAATGGTCTGGTTGAGTGCAGACTCTGAGATGTTATCTGGGTGTTTTTCCTTTTCTTTCTCCTTCTCTCTTAGCTAGCCTCAGCTCCTCAGCCATCCCCCCCCACCCCCACCTCTGGATCTTTCTTCCTTTGCCATTATCTCTGTGCCCCCCTACCCCTCCTGCGGTGGGAGAGAGAGGGTTAAGATGTTCTGCAAACGCAGCTCGTAAAGCTGCTTGGATACATTAGAAACACATGAATATCCTGAAATACAAAGTGTCTTTAAACCAACTGAGGAATGTTTATCCTAATGCTGGATAGATGCAGAGAAACAGTGCCAAGGAGCAGTGCTGACAGCCTCCTCAAGTTAAAGTGAGAGCAGGTAAATTTCATTTGCTAGTGAAAATCAAACCCGATTAGAACCTGGTTTCCTTTTGTCCTTTTTTCTTCCAACCCTGAAATCCCAGGGCCCCGTGGCCCAGGCTGGCAACAAATACCCCGCCGGGCCCCCCCCCCAAAAAAAAAACCCCCAGCCAAGGTCTGTTTCTTCAGCAGGAGGTTCCAGGGCAGCCAAAGCCCCGCAGGGCACCTTGGCCTGCACTAGGAGGTAAGAAGCCATGCCTGCCAAGAATCTGGCAAGAGAAAGGGTCTGGCAGCCTCCGGAACAAAGGCCAAGCCACTAAGCTGCCGCCTTCTAATCTTGCCCATGCTGCCCACTCAGGGCTCCTCCAGGGGGAAATCAAGGAGCACCAGACAGAGCCCACCTCGACCCCTGCTGCCCTCTTGCTAAAGGGCCACCGCTGCCTGCAGATCCCTTTGGGTCCTCTGACTTCCCCAGCCTAGCCCACAAAGGGTCTGAGGGTAAAACTGTCATCTCCAGGATTCATGCTGATGGTGCCTCCCTGCAATCCCATAGGAATTCCTGAGCCTAGTAGACAAAAAGCAAAGCAATGGCTCAGGGTCAGATGCAACTAGCTGGGCAGGCAAGTGAATCTTGATCTTGCCTTTAGGGAAAGAGGAAGAGCACTGGGAGAGCCTTTGCTTGCTTCCTAAGGCATACTCCAGTTCTTCACTGTTCTCCTTTCTTTTCCCACAAAAAGTCAGTTTGGTAGCTGCCTGGAGGGGTAAGAGGCTAAGAAATAGTATTAGGAACCATTAAAGAATCTCTTATGTCTTGGGGAAAAAAAAAAAAAGGTGGAGAGACTTTCCTTCTTCAAAGTTGAGTCGAAATTCTAGAAACTGAGACCCAAAATTATTCACAGAGCTCATTCAAATTCTAGAAACTGTCCTCACTGGTTGGAGGTTGCAATTCAATATCTAATAGGACCTACAGACTTAAAAAAAATAAAATAAAAAACAGTGAAGGCACACCAGGACGCCACTGACTTGCCTGGTTAAAAAAAAAAAATCATTTCATATATATCGAGATCCAAGACAAAAAAAAAAGGGGGGGGGGACAAGCAGCCTGCCTCTTTCTAAGTAATGATGTCTTGAGAGTATTTAAAAGTTGATAGAAAGATATGGGGAACTCAGAAAATATCCAGATTACTTGATCACTAAAGATCCACCACAAAGCTCAATAAATAATTCAGGCTTGAAGCCCTTCCTTGGAGGAGCCGCCAAGTTTAGGAGGCAAAACCTAATCCGAGATGCAACCCAAGGTCTTCCCCCAGCGCCTTCCCTCCCAGACAAACCTGCTTGTGGCTTCTCTGCAGACAAGATGAAATCTTGTCTCACCATTTTTGGTGAGGAGGGACCCAGTCGACCTTGGCAGTCCGTGGAGCTGGGGCCCTTCCTCTGCATGCAGGGCTCGTTCTCCGGTGAAGTGGGGAGAGGGAGGGAGGAATGTGGAGCCGGCCTTGGCCGCTGTGTGCACCAGCAGCTGCGCCATGGCCAGAGGTGAGCTGGCACAGGCCCCGGCTGGTGGGGGCTCCCCGAGCTGTGTTTTCGTTTTTCTGGGTCTGGCTGGAAAACAGAAAAGGCTGGAAGCCCGGGCCAAGAGAGCAGGGTGGAGGCAGAGAAGAAGAGTCTGTAAACACCGCCCCAAAATCTCCACGAAGGCAGCAAAAAAAAAAAAAAAAGAAAAGAAAAGAAAAAAAAAAAGAAAAAAAGAAAAAAGAAAAAAAAATGCCGAGGAACCAAACAGAGCGAGAAAGAATCATTCCGAAGGAAAAAAAGAGTCAAGAGCGAGACAAGGGAGGTGAGCAGTGGGCTTATCGGCAGCTGCCTGGGTCTCCAGGCTTGCATGGCAGTTCTCACGCTGGCTAGACTGCAACTTTCAACTTGACCTTGGCCTCTAGCCGTGTCTGACCTGTATGTAAAACAGCCCTCAACTCCTCAGGAACTGGGGCCTCGAACCCTACCCTGTTTCTTTGTCACTGTGAGTTTTACAATGCCACTTGGAGGAAGAAAGGGGGGTGAACGGGCCGGAAAGTAACACAAAAATCGAGTCGCTCCAGAGGCTAGTTCCTCAGTCTGCAAACGGCCATTCAGGGAGGAGGTAAACTGGAGGCAAATCAATATTTACCCGGAGCTACTAAAAAGGCAGGAGGGAAAGGGCACACTGGGTATGTCTATGTTGGGAGGAGGGTGTCATAGAAGGTGTTATTGAACAACACTTACATTGGTCTGAGCAAACCTGGGGATCAAGGCAGATAAAAGTCAGAGCCCAGGGTCATTGGTCCGGACTCTGCAGGAAGACCAGGAGCTTTAAAGAGCAGATCAGAGCAGGGAACAGGGACTGGGGATATTTGCAGTGCCCTGAGCTGCTGGCTGAGTCTGCAAGCTAGGACCGGAGGACAGGTCCACGCTTGGATGCTCACCAATCCACCTGGTGTCAAAGGGAGTCCAACGCTCTCTCCAAACCTGATGTTCCCATAGAATACACCCACTTTCATTTTGAACGCATATTCCCCTCCTGGGCATCTGACGCGCTCACAGCCTCCACAATTGGAAACGGAAGTATGTAACCCAAAAGCAACAGGACCTCCAGGATCCCTCACCAAAAAAAAAAAAAAAAAAAAAAAAAAAAAAGGGGGCTGCTTGGCTCTTCCAGCACCGACACCCCACCTTGCTCTCAGGAAAGGGTCTGCATTTCCGACACAGAGGGAAGGTTTCTCGGGCTGGTTCTTGGACAGAGGAGGACTGGGCACCCTCTGCAGGCTGGCGACAACACTCTCCCCAATTCTACTTGAAGTGGCCCTACAGAGTCCCTTTCTTTCTCCTGTCGAAAAATGGAGTGAAACGAGGAGTGCCCAGGTGCCTGAAGAATGAGCTCCTGTCCAAGAGCTACGAAGTCTGAAGCCTCCTTAGGCGCCAGAAAGGGAGCTCCCAGCCAGCACTTGGGGCTGTTCCTTTTAAATTCCCAAGACAGGCCAGCCTGGCTGGAGAGGTGGGAGCACCAGAGAATAGTGCACACAGATTGCTCCGAAGTCTCTGGAGGAGGGAGAGCTGTCACTGGGGCAGACTGAGGAGCGGTCTCTATACCTAAATATGAGGATGTGGACAGGGTACACTTGAGTGTGTGTGCGTGTGTCAGTGTGGGTGTGAGGGGGTCGTTCTGACCCTATGGGCCTAAGTGCGAGTGTATGAAATTGCCCACCAACACTGTGGACAGCCAAGGGGAGGGATCCCCTAAACACAGTCCGAACTTTCCACAGTGGAACGTCCTGGGGGCCCGTGAGCCAGGCGCATCCGCAAATGCCCCCGCCACTGTTCCTCTGGAAAGAGCCAAATCGTGACGCTGTCGACGCCGAAAACGCTAGTGTCCACGCTGCGGTCCCACGGCAGGAAGACTCGCGGATACCTGGAAAGAAATCGGCGTCGGAGGCCCCAGGAAACACCCAGCCCGGACTACGCCCCGTTTTCGCTACCATCCCATCCCCGACCTTCCGCAGATTTACCTGATCTATTCCCACCGCTTCAGGTCTCAACCCAACGGCGCGCCTCTGTCCCCTCCCCGCTTTACGCTACTCTGGGCCCCACCGGGTTAGGGGAAGAGAAGGGGAGCAGGAGGAGGCCGCCCTTCCTTCCCTATCCCACCCGCCCGGGTCCCCCGCCTCTCTTCTGGGTGAATGGTGCGTGGCCGCGCGGCGGGCGCTGGCTCTGGCGCCGGGGACGGCGCGGGCGGCGGCGGGGACCGCGGGTGCACAGCGCAGAGCCCGGGTTGGAGCCGCCCGCTTTGCATACGCCGTGGGCGGAGCGGGGGGGGGGCGGGCCAATGGGCGGCCGCCTGGCGCGCCCC